CCCTGCACCCCAAACCCGTAACTTTGCAACTGCACCCCAATCCTGCTTCCCTGGATCCCATTCCTGCCCCTCTGCACCCCAATCCTGCTTCCCTGCACCCCAATCCTGCTTCCCTGCCCCCCAATCCTGCCCCTCTGCACCCCAATCCTGCTTCCCTGCACCCCAATCCTGCTTCCCTGGATCCCATTCCTGCCCCTCTGCACCCCAATCCTGCTTTCCTGCATCCCAATCCTGCTTCCCTGCACCCCAATCCTGCACCTACGCCCTGCACCCCAAACCCGTAACTTTGCAACTGCCCCCCAATCCTGCTTCCCTGCACCCCAGTCCTGCTTCCCTGCACCCCAATCCTGCTTCCCTGCATCCCAATCCTGCTTCCCTGCCCCCCGATCCCCCCGCTCCCATTCCGCTCCCATTCCAATCCCATATCCGGCGGGAGCCGCTCCCTCCTCCGGAGCTCTCCCGGAGTTTCCCCCGGGAGTTTCCCCCGGAGTTTCCCTTCCTCTTCCCACCCTGCTCCCGGCGCTGATTCCGCCCCCGAGAAGAACGGGAGCGCGCAGAGCCCGGGGAGCGCCGCTTCCCTGATCCCCTGGGGATCCAAATTCCTCCGGGAATCTCGGATCCATCAGCGGGGTGGGAGCAAGGACCCGCAAACTGCGCCCCGTGGGCACCCGCAGTGCCCCTGAAAGGACACGGGATATCCATGGAAGAGGGGATCCTGGGAATCCTGCACCCCCAGAGCATGGAATATCCATGGAAGAGGGGATCCTGGGAATCCTGCACCCCCAGNATATCCATGGAAGAGGGGATCCTGGGAATCCTGCACCCCCAGAGCATGGAATATCCATGGAAGAGGGGATCCTGGGAATCCTGCACCCCCAGGCTATGGAACACCCCTGGATTATGGGATCCTGGGGTCCCTGCACCCCCAAGCTACGGAATACCCATGGAAGAGGGGATCCTACACCCCCAGGATATGGAGTATCCATGGAAGAGGGAATCCCGGGGTCCCTGCCCCCCCAGGACATGGAATATCCATGGATGATGGGATCCCGGGGTCCCTGCCCCCCCCAGGACATGGAGTACCCATGGATGATGGGATCCCGGGGTCCTTGCCCCCCCAAGCTATGGAATATCCATGGATGATGGGATCCCGGGGTCCCTGCCCCCCCAGGACACGAACCCCCCCCAGCGCCTGCCGCCATCCAGCTCCAGCATCACCCGCTGGGTGCTCCCGAACTTGTGCCGGGATATTTCGGGAAGCAGGACCCGCATTCCCGGGGCTGAGAGTCGAGGAGGGCCCAGGGAAGGGTGGCGGGGTTTGGAGAGCCCCGGCAGGACCGGGCTCCATCGCACCCACCTTTGCTGCCATGCCGGGGCTGCTGTCAGCTCCCGGCGCGTCCGTCTGTCCGTCTGTCACCTCCTGGCACCCCAAACCCGCTGCCCACCCAGCTCATCCCCTCCCGGCGCCTCCAGCCTCTCCTCCCCCTTATCCCGCGGCATTCCCGCTGGGAATGGCGCTGCAGGGGCTGCCTGGCACGGCCGTCCCGCCCTGCCCCCGGGCTGATTTATCGCAGCCCGGCCCGGAACGGCCCGGAACGGCCCGGCAGCTCGGGGGGTGGCCTGGGACGCTCCGATAAGGAACTGGTCTGAACTGGTCGGGCCGGCCCTGCGGATTCCGGCGTCCGCATGGAGCTGGGGACGCGGCGTGACCTTCCAGGAACGTGGGAGGGGAGAGGGAGGGAAGGGAAGGCTCCGGCTCTGCTCGCTGGTGCCAAATGTTCGTAAAGGATGGGGGAAAAGGGAGCCTCGGG